TCATTTGCTTTCCTTTTCTAGTTTTTTTTTTAATGTTTTTATTTATTTTTGAGAGAGAGAGAGAGAGAGCACGCGTGTAGGCACACGCCCACACATACTCGCAAGGGGCGGGGAGTGGCAGAGAGAAGGCTCTGCTTCAGAGAATCTGAAGCAGGTTCCAGGTTCCGAGCTGTCAGCGCGGAGCCCGACACGGGGCTTGAACTCACGAACTGTGAGATCATGACCTGAGGTGAAGTTGGACACTAAACCGACTGAGCCACCCAGGTGCCCCGTTCTTTTCTATTTTTTCAAGGTGGAAACTGGGGTCCTTGATTTGAGGGCTTTCCTACTACATGTCTTGGTGTTACTAGTTTTCCCCTAAACTGCTCTAGTGGCTTCCTAGAAATAGCATGTCTTGCATTTTCATTTTCCTTTGGTTCAGAATACTTTCTAGTTTCTCCTTTAATTTCTTCTTTGCTCTGTTATGTAGAGTTATGTAATACGTTTCTGTTATTTGTAATTTGGTTCCATGTGGTCAGAGAATACATTTTCTGTGATTTTTTAGTCCTTTTAAAGTTTGTTGCAACCTTCTCTATGGCCCAGAATATAGTCTTATATCGAATTCGTTGATAATACTGCCGAGTCTTTTATATCCTTACTGATTTTCTATTTACTTCTTTCAATGATTGAGAGAAAGGTTTTGAAATCTAGTATAATTGTGGATTTGTTTATTTTTCCTTGAAATTCTGTTAGTTTTTATTCACACATTTTGAAATTTTTTTGTAATGTTTGTTCACTTTTTGAGAGACAGAGACAGAGTGCAAGTGGGAGAGGGGCAGAGAAAGAGGGAGACACAGAATGTGAAGCAGGCTCCAGACTCTAAGCTGTCAGCGCAGAGCCCGACGTGGGGCTTGAACCCACAGACTGTGAGATCATGACCTCAGCCGAAGTTGGCCATCCAGCCGACCAAGCCACCCACATGCTCCTATTCACGCATTTTGAAACTCTACTACTAGATATATAATAAATAGGACTGGTATATCCTTTTGATAAATTGACCCCTTTATCATTATGAAATGACCTTTTTCTCTGTTAATACTCTTTGCTCTGAAATCTATCCCATTATTGTAGACACTCAACCTTGCTTTATGCTAGTGTTGGCATGATGTATCTTTTTCCGTCCTTTTAACCTATTTGTGTCTTTATTTTTAATGTGGATATTTGTGTAAGCAGCATATATTTGGGTCTTCAGTTTTAGAGTCCAATCTGACCATCTCTGCCTATTATTATTATTATTATTATTATTAAATGTTTATTTATTTTGAGAGAGAGCACATGTGATCGCAGGGGAGATTCAGGGAGAGAGGGAGAGAGAATCCCAAGCAAGCTGTGCGCTGTTAGCACAGAGCCCATCACGGGGGCTCCACCTTAGGAACCGTGAGATCCTGACCTGAGCCGAAATCAAGAGTCAGACACTCAGCTGACTGAGCCACCCACACAGCCACCTCTACCTTTTAATTGGTTGGTTAGACTGTTTACATTGATTATTATGAGCTCCTGTCTTATCCCAGTCTCTCCCAAGTGGCATTCTACCATTTCATGTACGGTGACAGGAGCGCGGGTAATCGTATTACGTTTTCTCCGCTCCTCTTCCTGCTGTGTGGTCCTGGGTTTTGCTTATACATATGTTGTAAACCTCGCAACAGATAGTTACTATTTTTGTTTCAATCACTGAATTATCTTTTAAAGATACTTAAGTAATAAGAATGTTTCTGGTGCCCTTTGTTCCTTTGAGTGGATCCACGTTTTGTTCCGGGTCCACGTTTTGTTTTAGTGTCCTTTTCCTTCTGCCCCAAGGACTGTCTTTATCATTTCTGATGTCTCTGCTGCTTTTGCATGTCTGGAAAAGTCTTTGTTTCCCCTTTGTTTTGCAAGATTTTTTGAGGAGTACAGAATTCTAAGTTGCTGGCTTTTCCTTTCAGTCTTTTCAAGTCTTTTTTGCCCCCTCGTCTTCTCATTTGCCTGTTTCCAACAAGAAACCTGGTGTTCTCATTCTCTTTGCTCTGTTACACCTAATGTCTCTTCTCTGTCTGGTGTGAAGCATTCTTCCGCTGTCACTTGTTTGAAGGGGTTTGTTGCCACGTGCCTCGGTGTCATTTTCTTCATGTTTCTTGTGCTGAGAGTTCATTGAACTTGGATCTCTGTGTTTAGCTGTCATCCGTTTTGGAAGAACGTTGGCCATTATTTCTTCGGATATCTTTGTTGCCTTCTGTTTCTTCTCCAATTACACGTATGTTAGATTTCTTAAAATTGTCAGGTAGCTCGCTGAGGCTGTGTTAATTTGTTCCTTTCTCTCTGTTTCATTTCGTATGGTTTCTTTTGTAGTTGAAGACTCTGTAATTGGGGCGCCTGGGTGGTTCAGCTGGTTGAGCATCTGACTCTTGATTTTTGGCTCAGGTCTCATGGTTCATGGGATCGAGCCCCACTGATAGTGCAGAGGCCGCTTGGGATTCTCTCTCTCTTTCCCTCTGCCCCCCCCCCCAATAAATAAATAAACATTAAAAAAAAACCCTCTGTTATTTTTCCTTCTGAAATGGCTAATCTGTTATTAACCCCATCATGTGTACTTTTCACCTCAGATACTGTCATTTTCATCTGTAGATGTTTGACTTGATATCTTCTGTTCTCTACTCATCCCCATATGGCGTTTTGTCATAACTGCTTCAAGGTCCTTTTCTGCTAATTCTAACTTTTGTGTCAATTCTGAGTTGGTGTCAATTAATTTATCTCTTCATTTCTACTTCCTCTGTGTCTGTTTCTTTGCATGTCTGCTGATACTTTATTAGATGCCAGCCATGGTAAATGTTACTTTTTTTTTTTTTTTTTTTTAGTTTTTAAAAATGTTTATATTATTTTTGAGAGAGAGAGAGCAGGGGAGGGGCAGAGAGAGAGAGGGAGGGAGGGAAACAGAGTACTGGAAGCAGACTCTGTGCTGTTAGCGTGGAGCCCGATACGGGGCTTGAACCCATGAAGCCTGGGATCGTGACCTGAGCCGAAGGCAGACAGACGCTTAACCGACTGAGCCACCCAGGCGCCCGTAAATTTTACTTTCTTAGGTGCTGCATATTTTTGTGTTCCTATAAATTTCTCGAGATTTGTTCTGGGGCTGAAGTGAAATTAGTGGGCAATGGTATGGTCCTTTCAGGTCTTGCTTTTAGGATGTGTTAGGCAGGCGCCATTCTGTCTAGAGTCAGTTCCTTCCCCCTCTCTAAGTCAGGAGCTTTCTGAGTGGCCAGAGTCCCTGAATTAGGAGGTTTTCCAGTCTGGCTGGTGGGAAGCAGGCACCGTCCCTCACCATGCTGAGCGTCAGGTCCTGTTTGTGATGATCCCTTCCTGTGCTTGGGCAGCTCCTCCCATGCACGCCCGGGTGCTGGACTCTCGAGGGTCACCCTCTAGCAGTCTCTGGTGCCGTGTCCTGTGAGCCCAAGCTGCCTTCCATTCTTTCATCTGCTTCCTTCCGCTGTTGCTAAAAGTCCTCCCTCTGTCTTGGTTGATCTTCATTGAATGAGTACCGGCTTGTCACCTTGCTTCAAGTGATGTCCCCAGAATTCCCTGTCTTGCTTAATTGATGACCTGTCTGGCATCCTGAGTGCCAAACATATCAAAGAACTTATGAAAAATGTTTTGAGAGTCAGCTGGAAAATTTCAGCAGGTAAAAATTATAGAAAAAGTTTGCTTTAGGTTATCTAGTTTCCATAAATCAGAAAAGACAGTTTTGTAAAGAAAATTTTAGAAAGCAGAATAGACGTTAATGACAAATTAATAACTTAGTCCTGTGGTAGATTTAAACACTTTCCTTTATATTTTACATTTTTAAAAATGTTTTATTTATTTTTGAAAGAGAGAAGGCAGGGAGTGGCAGAGAGAGAGGGAGACACGGAATCCGAAGCCGGCTCCAGCCTCTGAACTGTCAGCACAGAGCCTGACACGGGGCTCGAACCCATGAACTGTGAGATCATGACCTGAGCTGAAGTTGGACGCTTAACCGACTGAGCCACTCAGACGCCCCTCTTTATATTTAATGATTGTAAAACTCGCTGTGTAGTTTTTCATGAAATGCAAGAAACGGAGACTTAAATCTTTGGGGAAGTCTTTTTGACTTGATGCTTTTACTAACCTCAGAAATACTTTTTCAAAAGTCACTTTTGGTAACCCTCTTATTGTCTGCTAAAATTCATGCAAACGCTGAGCCAAGGAGATGTACCTGCCGTTGTGTTGGTTTTTATTTTCTGGTGAAGTAAGTTCATCAGAGCTCTAACATAGGAATGTTATGATTTGATAAGGCCACTGTTCGATTAGTTTGACATATGCAAAGTAGGTTAACTTAGGGGAAAAGACTGTTAAGAGCATGGCATCTGTCGCACAAGTAAGCAAACCATCAGCCGAGGTGTGGAAGCTGCACCAAATATAACGGTACAAGCTGGCGCGGCTCTGAGCCAGGTCCACGGTTTACCTTAACTTCTATGAGATAAGTGGTGAGCAGCTGTGCAAAGCTTTTAGCCATATGAAGCGATTGATTGTCTTTGTGAAACCTTCAATAAAAAGGACTCATTTTTAACCAGCGTCTGAACGAAATGACAATTCAGTTGCTTGTTTCTGTACACTTAAAAATGGACTAGCGATTTGTTACCGCACACAGCCTTCCAGTGTTACAGATGAGCAAAGTTTTACTAGCCCGGTCTCTTCAGATAGCAAGATGCGTGTCGTTGGGATTGAGCGTAAGCACAACAGTATAAAGTTCTGAGTTTTCCTTTCTTTTGAATGATATTAAGCTTTTAAGGGTTTGAAATGTCACTCGGCTTCAGATGTCAAAGATTACCGCAAAAAGAAATCAGTGTTCTAAGACACCAAATTTCAATAGACAGTCTTTTTGGGTTTTTTGCTCCAAAAGGTCAGTAACTTAGTTTATATCTGTATATAACGCGTGCCTTTCTTTTCTCTCTCGTTTCGTAGGTTCTGCCGGAGACTTCCATCTGGCCTCAATGTGAAAGTAAAGTAAACCACATCTGTGTGTGTGTTGCTCCCAGGATGCTGATTCATTGGTCATGTCTGAAGAGGGAAATTCTGGTCTAGATGGCTGACAGCCCGCGAAAATAGATGCTTATCCTAGATGTCCGGCGTCTCTCCTTTTTACTGGAGTGAAAATCCCCTCCAGATACCAACAGAACGTCACCTGCAGAAAATGCCTCGCATTTTAAGGATGTCAGCAACCTAAATTCATGCGCCCTGTGTGCACAGTTGTCGTGGACGGTTTACCATCTGAGAGCTCCTCAGCCTCTTCTCCAGGCCCCGTACCTGTGTCTGAGATGTCTCTGCTCCATGCTCTGGGCCCAGTGCAGACCTGGCTGGGACAGGAGCTGGAGAAATGTGGCATCGACGCCATGATTTATACCCGGTATGTCCTCAGCCTCCTGCTGCACGACAGCTATGACTACGACCTACAGGAACAGGTACTTCTGTGTCTTACGTGTTTTGTGAACATGCGTGGTTGTGTCTGCAGGTTTGTGTTTTCTCTTCAGAGAGCGCTTTTACGCTCTGGAGCAGGCTGGCGGACTGCCGCGGTCCACAGACGTTGAACCCGCCAGGGGGCATCGGTGCTCTGGGTCACAGCACACTGTTTAGCACAGCGCTTTTCTCCGCTCTTGGCCTTTCTCCCCATCGATCACACTCTGGCTCAGGCCCCCCGGCTCTCGTCAGGGCCCGGTGAGGGCTTGATGGCCCCCTGCCTGCGAGCCGCACTGCGCCGGGTGCTGGTGTCCGCCATCAGGAACGTCACACATCGGGACGAGACCTTTTCATCGTTGTGTCTGTTACACTTCTTAACGTTCTGAAGGTTAAGGTTTCATTTTCATGTTAAACTGCTTGTTCAGCAAAGCGTGTGACATGAAGCACGTGACTTTACGGTACGTCGTTGTAGATCCCCCGGGAAATCGGCCCTCACGCAGTTCATTTGACTTCAGTGCTGAGTTGCAAGTGAAAAGTAAGCAGATCCGGGTTCTCCAAAGAGTAAGTCCGACTTCAGGGTCCCCCTCCCAGAGGAGGTACTGAGAGTGAGGCCTACTGAGAGGGCAACACGGTCGTCACCGGGGACCACACGGGCTCTGGGTGACCTCCATGTACCACGTTCACGTGACCCGGAGTGTTTGGTGGGCAGTTTCTGTTGCTGGTTTTTAAACCCACCGTCACTAACACTGAAAGCAGGGGTAAAGTTTCATTGACGGAAGAAGCTGGCTTTGCCTTCCAGACCACGGAGAAGCCTCCAGGTCCTGTCTGTAAGTGCAGAATTTTGCCAGCGTGTTTTAACATTGGTCCCTCATCACTTGTTACAGACGTGTTTTCTTCCAGCTGGACACAGCTGTTCTCCCTGCTGCCAGGTTGCTTGCTGCCCTGGCTGGTGGGAATGAGGTTGGCGTTTTCAGGGGTTTGACTTAGAACCTAAGAATCAGGAAATGTGTCATTTTGGCAGACAGTATTTTGTGTAATTTCCTTACTAAGGCTCTGTCTTCCATCCTCTTTCCAGTAAATGTAAAGAATATATTTTTAGAGGCGCGCCTAGGTGGCTCAGTCGGTTAAATGTCTGACTTTGGCTCAGGTCGTGATCTCACAGTCTGCGAGTTCGAGCCCCGCGTCGGGCTCTGTGCTGACAGCTTGGAGCCTGGAGCCTGCTTCAGATTCTGTGTCTCCCTCTCTCTCTGCCCCTCCCCTGCTCATGCTCTCTCTCTCTCTGTCTCAAAAATAAATAAAACATTAAAAAAAAAATTAAAATATTTTTAGAGGCAAATAAGATGTTAAATCTACAAACATGGAAGAATTATTATTATTATTTTTTAAGTTTGTTTATTTTGAGAGAGAGAGAACACAAGTGGGAGGAACAGAGAGAAAGGGAGAGAGAGAATCCCAAGTAGGCTCCACACTGTTAGTGCAGAGCCCAGCATGGGGCTCGAACTCACAAACTGTCAGGTCGTGAGGTGAAATCGAGTCAGCAGCTTAACCGACTGAGCCACCCAGGTGCCCCTGGAAGAATTTTTATTTCCGGAAATGAGGACGATATTTCTCTTAACTCAAAAATCATGTACTCTTAGGGTTGTGTGCTAACAGTATCCACCTAGAATATTTTGTCAACGTTAATAAGTTTATTAGCACGAAGTATTTATGTCCAGCGTGAGTTGAACCTCTCTGAGGAGATGTGTTTGTGATTCCTCTGGTTCCTTTCTCAGTAGGGCTTGGGGGGCCGGGGCAGGGCACCTATCTGTGCCCAACTGTTGGATCCACCTTCCAGAGTTCTGCTTCATCTTTAGGGAGCGGGAGGATGAGGACTGGTGAAAACAGAACCTGTGTGCAGTTACAAGGAGAATCCAAGGGAAATCGGGGCTTTTAAAATACCCCTCCCCTCGGTCCAGTGCCAAGTGCCATGCTGATGGGGAAGGTCAAGTTGCAAATGATACTTGTTTTTAACAGGGGACCTGGGAGATCGGGTAGACCTGATGTTACTTTTCATGACTCAAGGGGGGGATGCGCTCACGGTACCCCCGAAAGGGAGTCCAAGTGCAGAGCCGAGGGCAGTCTCCCTGGTAGGAGAAAGGGGAGTGGGGGGAGGGGGGGCCTTGCCCACCTTCTGTGATTCAGATGCCAGCTCACAGCCCTGCTCCCTGGCCAGGTGTAGTCCCTGATGTCTGGGTCAGACGTGTGGTGGCCCAGCTCCTCATTTGGGGGGCCAAACGACTCCACCTTTGGGTGTTTGTTTCCTCCCATCTTACCCTCGGTTCGTGAATACGTCTAACCTTGACTTGAACACGGCCAGTTTTAAGGCCGTTGCTGCAGCTTCTAGCCTTATCTGCCATGTTTAATCCTTCAGTTTTCCTAATCTTGGTTAAAACACACCCACCAAGAGCTCTTGAGTTCTCAGGAAGGTTTTGCACGTGACTTTGGTCTCAGCTGCACAGGATGATTGGGTGGGAAGTGAGGCTGATCAGACCGAGGTCTTGATTGAGCCGGAAGGACGAGCAGTTCAGCGCCAGCCTGTGATTTGAGCAGGATCGTAATGCAGCGGTGGCACCGGCGGTTCCCGCGTGGCCCCAGCGAGCAGCACCTCCCGACCCGCGGGTGCCCTGGGGGCGCCACAGTCACCTCGTTTCTACACGTTCTTCTTTCTCTTTGCTCTTCGTGTCTTTCTTCTTTTGGTCGTGGCCGCCAGACTCTGGAAAACGCCCGCTCACGCCATCCGGAGCTCACCGGTGTTGTCTCCAGATGGAAATGTACACCACTGTCCTGACCCGGGCTCGGGCCCAGCCGCCACTGCCCACGGGTCCTTCTCGCTCCTGATGAGACCGCGCCGTCTGCTTCCAAACGTGATGTTTTCACTGGCGATCCCTTCGTTCTGGTTATTAGAATGTATTCTCTTTCCCGGTAGAGTAGAAGGTCCTGGAGGGCAGAAATCAGACGCTCATTTTTGAAAAATGTTTGCTTTCTTGTGAAATAATTTTGAACATGGGAATAATGAGAACATGACGGGGAACTCTCGTGTACTCTTAGTCACCGTTGATCATATTTTCCTGCTTTTGCTTTATTTCTCTCCCCTCCGTTTGGTACTCCTACCCTAAATAAATCAGCGTGTGTTTCTTAAGATTGGGCTTTCTCCCCGCCACGTGGATGCAGGTAGAAGACTCAGGGAGGTTAACGCGGGCACATCATGATATCCTGCTGGTTTTCCCCTTGTATCAGCTGCCCAGTGATGCCCTTCATCGTAACTTGCCCCCACCCAGGATCCAGGGTGAGACTGTGCGCCTCTTTACTCCTCTAATCAGGAATAGTTCACAGCTTTCCTTTGTGTCTCACCACATTCACATTTTTGAAGCTAACAGGAGAGTTGCTTAGCAGAATATCCTTTAACTCTGGGTTTGCCTGATGTTTGCTTCTGTGTAGAGACAGCTTACGTGTTTATGGCAGTGACCTCCCGTAAGCCACCAAGTTTCCTTCTTCATCATGCGTCATGGCAGATGCACACGACGTCCGTCTGTTGCATCGTGGCAGTGCTGGCTTTGGTCTGGGGACGTCTGCCAGGTTTTCTCCCGTGGGAAGCTGGACGCTCTTTTCTGTGTAATCATCAGGTGACCCGTTTGGAGAGACTGGCAGTTTTCTCACCCGTAGATGATTCCACCTGAATCACCTGTTACTTTGATGGTTGCAAAGTAGTGATTTTTCTAACTCCGTTATCCCGCTACGTTTCGTAGTGGCCATTCTCCTGTAATGCCTTTACCTTCTCAAATCAGTAGCCCGGTCACGTAGAGAACACCACAGTGTGCCAAGGGCAGTGCCGGACATTTCTCATGTAGGCCTGCCTTATTTGGCCTCCATACCACACCTTGGAGGGAAGTAGTATTTTCTCTGTCTCCACTGGTGTAGCAGTGCACATTCAGAGAGGTTAGGTGATCTGCCTGAGGCCACACAGCAGTGAGTTGGGATTTAAACTCCTGTCTGTCAGATCCAACGTGTGCCTACTTTTATATTAGAGAGTTTTGCTGTTTTTGTTTTCATACATAACAAATAATTATTGAATGAACAATGTAAGAACACTCTACTGCAAAGGCAGGCTTTAGAAACTATGTGGAATGGATTTATTGTCTTTTAATGCACTTGTGGTTTGTAGAAGTGGGGGGAAGTTCATTGTTAGTTCACAGTTGAAGTTTGAGTGGAGTCCCTCTAGGGTGAAAGCGAGTGCAGGGAAGCTTGGGGCATCACGTCTCTAACTCTTAAAATAGACTGGAGTTAAATTATTAAAAAATATTTTACAGTCTTACGATCGGCTCAAAGGGAAGCTGTAGTAAAGCCATAATTTAAAGGTGGGAGTTTACTTTTCCTGCCTCGGGCTTGTGCTGGGCTGATGGTCAACTCCAGGTTCCCTGTAATCTGTCGTGAGTAGGAAGAGTCGTCTGAGGAAGATAGGACAGCTTTTCACTGTGTCATTCGTAGAACCCCACATTCTTAATCTTCCTTCATCATTAAATGAAAACCATCATCCGAGAATTTATTACAGCGTTTTTTTTTGTCTTTATATTTTAATGTTCTCAGTATTGTGAAAGCTTTATCAGCAGCCCATGATGATGACAGAAAGCCCAGCTTGGTCTGGCTTCAAAGGAAGCAGTGCTCACAGTGAGCACACATACCCTGCATATGGCCACGCGTCAGAGCACTCAGGCCCAGTGCTCCTGGCCCCAGGCGTGGAGGTGCTTAGAGACAGTGGCTAAGTTACTTGCCCAGGGTCACACAGCTAGTCAACTTGGGATCCTTTGTTAATGTCCAGAGGCTGGGGCTGGCCTCAGTGGCAGCTGGATACAGGGCCTTCCGTGGAATCAGTGCCCCACCATGAAGCTTGCCTTCTCTATTGCTTTGCTTTTCAAGCTTCACCGTCCCCTCTCCGCTGCAAGCCCAGATCCACCTTCATTTAAAAATT